AATGTTTTATTTTAAAAAAAAACAAAAAAACAAAAAACAGAAAACAAAAAAAAAAGAAAGAAAGAAAAGAAAATATTTTTCCCCCTAAAAATAGGAGAGAGCCAAAATTGACCAAGGGTATTCTGCAGCGAACCAGAGACCAAAGATTTTTTCCCCCCCCCCCCCCCCGCCCTCTTGGGGACTAGTTTGTGTGCAGCAAAAGTAGGCCAGAATGCCTTGCCCGTTTTTGTCTGAGCTGGTGAAGCCTTTGCTCCTTTAACTATTCCAGAATGAACTGTGAGCAAAATGAATTTCCTTTTCTTAGAAAAAAGAAAAGCCCTTTCTGGCAGGTGGATGACCCAGGGAGCAGTAGCAGGGCTCCGAGAAAAGCAGGCGGCCGGCTGTACTTGGCGAGATGCAGGGTTACTTCTGTTGGAGCAGCCTCTGGGGACGGAAGAGGGACACCCTTTTATGGTGTCAACGTTTGGATCTGGGCCCCCTCAGATGTTGGGTTGCTTGTTAGTAAACCTGTGGCTTCTTCTCAAAGCCTGTCCCCCAAAACACTGAGCCAAAAGGCTAACATGAATTAAGTTTGAGAATGTGGCCTTGAAACACTACCCGTGAGCATCCTTCCAGCTCTGAGAGGAAGTGTGGAGGTCTCCACAGAAACTCTGCTCCCGCCGAGTAAAGTCCTTCCTGAGGCCTCTTCCCTCTAGTGCCACAGAGGCTTTAGAATGTCTGGTCCTGTCTGCGGTGGGAGTCTTTGATGGTGAAGCCTTCTTTCCCGAGCGGGCTCTGGGAGATCCTAGCAGACTCTGCCTGTGCCTGCTGAACATGACTTCCCGGACCCAGCGTTTGTGGACTGAAGTCCCAGGTGTCACGGGCTCAGGGAGTTCCACCAGGCCACCTCTCCAGGGACTGAGCAGTTGTTACAGAGACCATCCTGACCACTGAGGCTCCACTGGTGACATTAATTACATGGGAAACACACGTCTGCTTTTCAGTCTGAGACACACTAAGTACACTTAAGAACCTAAGAGATTGTGTATGTGATGTGAAGGCCGCAGTGGTAGCCTGGGCTGCTGACGGACTGAAGAGACACTAGTGTCCTTGGTAGGGATTTGCTTTTATGACAAACCCAGCCAGCCAGAGGCGGCCCTGGGTCCTTCTGCCGCTTCAACCTTATGGATAATTAAAAGCTGGCAGCAGAAGTCTCTTTTCTATCCTCACTTCCCATGATGCTCAGCTTCCAATCTTTCTGGGGAGGGGCGGGGACTATAGAGACAGAGAGAGAAAGTTTCTGGGCACATAGAGACCCCACCAGGAAACTCTCCTCTCCCCTTCTTAATCCCAGTGTGGACTAAGCCTCAACTTCAGCAGAGGCATTGTAATCCCCCAGCCTCGGTTTGAAGCGTGCAGATGTAACTGACCACAATAATTTTCTCCATTCGAAGCAGGCTTCCTATGCCATTGGCTTGCCAGGCAGAGAAGGAGGAGGAAAAGGAAAAAGAAAAAAGAAATAGATGGGATGGCTTAGAAACCGAGAGAGTTTTGATTTTGTTCAGTTCTGTTTTATTCCGTTTCTGTGCAGCCTTCCATGTTGGCGATTGTTCTCTCTCTTCTGGCGGTGGTGGCCTCCCGCCCACCGTTGCCTTGCCCCCTCCTCCCCCGTGCTCCTTCATCTTGATGCTTTCATGTTGGTTCCCGACACATGGTCTGGCTTTGGGTTTGAAGGACAAGGGTGGCTTGTGAGCACACCCAGTCGTCAGGCCCACTTCCTTCATCTCTGTCTCCCTGCCTCCCAGCCCCATGGGTTTGGAATCTGACTGGGTGAAGGTACCACAGGTGTGCTTCTGAAACCAACAGGACCTAGTTTGCAAGCAGTTGTCCTGGAAACTGTCTAGCCGTGTTTCCGTTATTCAGAGCGCTCTCAGAGTTCCTTTCAGACTTGGTGCCATGTTGGGACCAGCCTCAAGTGAGTCTGCACCATTCTGCGAGTCCAGGGTTACTGTCTGTGGCCAGCCGAAGTCTCAGGTACAGAGCCAAAGGGCTCTCCGGTAACATAGGCTTGGATCAATGATAAGGCTTTTAACCTGGCCCTGAAAGTAGTGTTTGCCACTTCAGACAGTGCTGCGAGCAATGACTGCCTTGTCACAGTGAGTGTATAGCTCAATGCCTTAGAGGACCCTGTGAAATTAGATATGGAAACGGATTTGGTGGAAGAAATCTGTTTTGTTGCTTTCTGGCCACCCCAGGTTCTGACTTTACCAGGGGCAAAAAAATAAATAAATAAAAAATAAAAGTTAAAAAAAGATTAAAGCAAAACAAGAAGGGAGAAGAATCCCATCTGTGAATTTGTCTTATCTGCGCTTCTTCCCCTCCCTCACCCCAGCCCCGCTGTCTTCCAAGTATTATTTTTACTGTTAAGATTTTTTTTAAATGTGAAATGAAATGTAATGTTTTTACAGCAATGATATGAAATATATTTTATAAGGAATAAAATGGTACATTGTCTGACTAGAGTGTGCCTGCACTGAGTTCTTTCCTGTTCCTATGATAAGTTGCACATGGTATCACGTGACACTGTGGGCACCGAGACCATTCACTTATAATTTCAGTCGCTTGGTAGGAAGTGCAGCTCAGTGGAGGAGCACATGTGTGGCTCTAGGTTCAAAGTCATAAAACAAATTCAAGCAGGTCATATTTACCAGGGAGCAGGCCGAGCGCTGATGGCAGGGGTGCTCAGCCTTCCTAATGCAATTCTTTAACACCGTCCTCCATGTTGGGACCTCCAGCCATAAAATATTTTCGTTGATACTTCATAACTGCACTTTTGCTGCTGTTATGAATTGTAAGTATCTGATATGCAGGCTATCTGATATGTGACTCCCAAAGGGGTCATGTCCCTTTGAGAACAGCTGCTTTAACAGATGAGACATGGAGGTTGACTATCTTGCCAAGGGTACGGACTGGGATAGGGTGGGGGGGATGGCATTAGTATTGTAATCTGGGCAGTGAATATTTTCTATGACTTACATTCATTTTCAAAAGAGGACGTATTTTAGGCATATTTTTATGCCTGCTGGAGAGTGGACTGGGAACTTAGGAGAAAATAAATCACATTCTATATATTCATCGGCTTTTCCTAGCTATAATAAAACACCTGAGGTGGGCTAACTTTGAAAGCAAGAGGTTTAGAGGCTGAAAGACCAAACACTATGGTGCAGGGTCTTGCACTGAACACGTCACCTCCCGGAACAGGTGGCAGTGTTGGGAACTCATACCAACGGAGGGATCACAGTGTGAACATAGGAAGCCAGAGAGGCTGGGGTCCCTTCCTCAGGCACCACCTCCCACTGCCACCCTGAACATCATGCCTCCAATACATCAAGGCACATGAAGATTGGGGACCTCCCCAGACATGTCAAACCATAGCACGGTGTCTACAGAAGGGGTTCTCTGTGTAGTCTCTGCAGGGCATTGACTTTCACAGGTTGTGGACAGATGCTAGCTAAGCTGGCTTCTGTTGGCAGGGTCCTAGAAGCAGAAAGATCCCCCCCTGCACACACACACACACACACACACACACACATTGGCTTATTCAACTTTAATCATTCCAAGAGCCTATCAAACCAGGCTACAGGAAGTTGTGGGGAATGTGTTCAAATGTTCAAAGGACATTCGGAGTATGAAGGGGGTTGTGTTGCCCTTGTAAGAACTATCTGGTCCCCCTCCCCCGGTATTCCTTATGCAGTCCAGCATGGCCTCTCCTTGCCTCTTGAGAGCTGAGATTACAGGTGTACACCACCCTGCTCAGCTCTTAGATTTTAAGGGGGTGGATGGCGTGTGGAAAGGAGACCTAGGATATTTTATTTTATTTCATTTTGTATTAACCTGGCCTCCTGTTCAGGAAAGGCAGGAGCTGGAGTGTGTGCCTGCTGGAAGAGAGAGCCAGAGGAGTGGAGAGCTGCTTCTGAGCCTGGCAGCCATCTCCAGGGCTGGCTTCTCAGCATCGCTGGACAGCGAAGACCCCTTGATCTTTTGCTTTTTGGCCTCAGGAAATGTGAACAGAGTGGATTAAGCATTGTTCATAATTTACCCATTCTGTGGTGCGATTGTCCACTGGTATCTGTGGGTGCCGCCTCAGCAGATCCGACCAACGGCAGATTGAGAATCTTAAAAAACAAATTGTGTCTGTCTCGACCAAATACAGACCTTTCTCATTTTTCCCTACACAGTACAATAAAACAACTGTGTGCATACTATTTATGTTGTAGTAGACAGCATAGATAGAAATAATTTTGATACACAGAAGCTTGTATGTAGGTTATATACAAATGTGCTATTTTGCACAATGGATGATTTTGCTACTCACAGGGGGTCCTGGAACTAGTGCTTCGAGGTTATAGACAAATAGTTGTATTCTGTCCTTCCAGCAGGGCCAAATGGATCATGACAGCTGTCTACTACATAGATATTGAACTGGTCAGTTCCTCCAGTTGGGTTCTCCACGTGTTTCCCGGCAGGACTGCGGCAGTCACATACCTTACCACGCTTAGTGTTACATGGAGAAAAAAGCAGGTGGCAGGTTCGCCACTCCCTTGCTTCGGTCACAACCCGCTGGCACCAAACCACCAGGCTCTTTGCATCACCTGGGAGCTGTTAAAAATACAAGTTCCTGCTGGGTCCAGAGCTGGATGTGGGGTCCAAGAGCAGCCGGATGGACGCAAAGGTTGAGAACGGCTGTCTCCCTCTCCATCACCTACCTGCTCACACGTTCACACAGCCCTTTGCATCTGACTTCACAGTGCCCTTGCCTGTTGCCCTCGGCGTGGTCATGTCCCATTGGTCGTGTCCCAGCATCACCCTGCGCCAACTTTATAGTCCCCACAGCTGTCTACGAGTCTCCAGCCCAGAGTTGCCTCCGGGAGAGGTGGCTCTCTTGGTGTGTGTTTGCACCGTGCTGCATCGCCTCGTTTAAAGACAGCCAATGAGTTTATTAACCATTTGCTCAGTAGAAGTTTAATGGAGAGAGTTGTTTCAAACGATCGGTCAAAAAGAACAGATCTTTTACAAACAGGTTATGGCAGTGACAAGGCAAGACCCCGCGTCTGATTTCACATTCCTCTCCCCGGGCCCTAGAAGAGGGCAGAAGATGAGGGAGAAGATGGGGCCATGGAAATGTTAGCTGGAGGAGTTACAAAAATACACTCTGATGTAGCAACAGGGTTGTGGTGAAACATGCCGTGGGGAGGGGGCAACAACCGGGCAGGGGGTTGCTGTGGGTACTCAATGCCTCAGGGAAGAAGGAATCCTGACTCCCGGCCGGCACTTCTGGGTGTGGACACATGCTGTTCGGGGGATCACCTGGATGCCTGGGGAGACAGAAAGGAACAAAATGTCAAATCCAGCAGGCTAAGCCATCCATCCTTTTTGCCCAAGCGACTAAAGCAACCCAAAGTGGGCCACCACAGCAAGTGAAAAAATTTCCCAAGTGACCAGAAAGGGTCCTTACTCGATGCTCTCCACTTACCTGCCACTTTTGCCTACTACAGGAAGGAGGGATGCGTCAGATAGAACGGGAGGCTGATGGGCTGTGACTTAAAAGGCCCAGTGACAAGTCTTTCCCAAGTACCACTCAGCCCCTTCCCAGTTCTCAGCATCAATGTGAACCACAGCATCCTCAAAGTTCTCTTATGTGACACAGGCTCCCTAAGCTATATGCGCAGAATACGGACAGGGTCATGAATGTGCTGCTGACGTCTAGAGGGTCAAGGCAGGACACAGCAGGAAGCATTGGGAGGATAGGTCAGAGCAGGAGAGGCTGTCCCCAAGACCTGCTATGCTCTTCTTCCTGTGTTGTTCAGGCCAGGGTCTGCACTGCAGTGTCCCATCTTCCTAGGTTGCCATTACGCTTTGGACAGGTTGGGTGGCCCCCTCTCCCGACTCCGATCTTCTGAGTATAGATTGGCATTGGCGTCTTTGATGCCAGGAACAACCACAGCAATGGGAACCAGCTGGAGTGGAAGGATTTCTGTTGTGCACGCGGCGAGTTGGGCTGTGTGTGTGCAGATCAACACAAGGTCTCAGCTGGCTACGACTGGCTCACTAATACACACCCACTCTAGAACTCACCACCGTGCCCGTGCAGATGAGAGAGGGAGAGAGCTGGTTACATGGCGGCAGGACAGCCATTAATAATATCCAAATGAGCTGGCTAATGTTTCCATCAAGAACTTTGCATGTTGAGCAAAGTGGCAGACAGAAACCAGTTATTAGCCCTGTTACAGCACCTCTCAGCTGGAAGTATAATAGAAAATCAGAAAAGTCAATTGACTGGCTCAAATAGTTTTTCTTCTTTCAAATAAATTGATTCTTGCTAATGAGACGGATCTTAAACTGTCTTTAGGTAAAGAATATTGTTGTGGTTTAGAATTACATATGGGCTTTAGTGTCCCTTAGGAGCCCCTGTAGAGAATGCCATTAAGACTTAGAAAAAATTCATGCTACTTCTGGAAGATTTACTACTAGATATCAGACAGGTCTGACTTAGAAAGAAATCGGGTGCTTGTCAAGGACGGAGTGCAAGTTCACTCAGGATCTTTGGAGATGAACCATTCTGTTAAGACAAATTCAGGGCCTTCTCCCACAACCTAAAAACATGTGACCATCTTTGGGGATAAATTTTCTGCAAACAAGTGACCTAACAGCTTGGGCCCGGAGGGCTGACCGTGTGCAAGAGTGTGGGCACCAAATATTAGCATTTGATAACTCTATCTTGAAAGAGGACCGTGAACGACATGATTATGTTGGGGGTGTGGGAAGAGAAAAGAGAGGATACATGTGTTTTTCTTTTCTGTATCAGAGATGGGAATTAGCCTCTGTTGGGACAGTATCATATGGTCAGCTAACTCGTGCTTTGTATGAGGCTGTGTTTCCAAGCTGTTTCGGGAGATGGGTGGGACTCTGCTCAGGTTCACATTGGCATGTATGGATGGGGGGGAGGGGACGACACAGACAACAGTTGGACTCTCTCTTAAATCCACTGTGCTGATTCCTAATGCCATTCCCTAGTTACATTCCTAGGTGATGGCGGGGGAGAGTTGGATTTGGAATCAGCTGGCAGTCACTGGTTTTTTGCTGTGTGTTTTCCGAGGCTTTATATGACTGTGTAAGTGTGTACCAGAGGGTGGGAAGGGAGCAAAGGAAGAGAACACAAGAGGCATCCTGGGACGAGTCCAAAAAACTGAAGAAAAAGAAGTCTCATTATTTCTTAGTACTTATTTTAACACCTACTAGCTCCATTGGACCAAGTTCTGTAGTCCTGGTTCAGCAAGGATGCCATTAATGCAAAAAAAAAAAAAAAAACCACCACCAACAACACAATACTGGTCCTTCCTTAGCAAAGTGCAGGATGACCAAATTGTTAGTGGAAGAAATAAGAGCGAAAAACATGACTCTGGGACCCAACAATGGTCTTTGGCAGGGGAAAATGGGAACTATTAATGGTTTCCATGGAGTTTAGCCACCTTGAGATGTAGGGTGAGATGGATAAGCTCTCTTTGAAGTAGAACGGTAATCAGCCTTTTTGCAAATGGCTAAGAGGAGGGCTGGCTATTGGGTATTTTTTTTTGCAGATAAAGTCTCCGAGGAAAGGTGAGCTGAATGGTTGCTATGGTAACTGACTGTTAGAATTGGTCCACTTAACTGTCCCCATAGTAACTAAGCTCTTGGAGAGCTATAAAGGAATTAGTTATCTTAACATACTACTATTATCCCCATGGTAACCAGTCTCTGAATGGGAGTGGTCAGCCTCAAGGAGAATGGTGGGAAAAATCTTTCTCCCTGGAGAAATGGGTAGGAGGCAGAGATGTCAATTTCTTCACCAATCCAGTCTCTGAAGAGCTGGAGTCCTTGAGATGTGTGTAGGGAAAAGGGGGAGGGATTGGGTGGGGTGTGTGTGTGTGTGTGTGTGTGTGTGTGTGTGTGTGTGTGTGTTTGGGGCTGGCTAATATGTTTTTAGGCCTGGGACAGTTGGGTATATGAGGTCACTTCTTGCCCCCTGCTAATTGGTGCCCAACTCACTCATGGGTTGCAGTGGCCGGTGCAGCTGGGAGGGGCTCCTTCTGGCTACACATTACCATTCTGGTGCAGAGTGCGCCGGCGCTGACTTGATTGCATGCTCAGGACCAGGTACTGCCTCATAAACTCACTGAACCGCTTCTGGTTGGCCAACTTCCGGGCCGACTTCCGGGCCCCAGTGAAGCCCCCAAACCTCTTCTGCAACTGCTTCTGTTCCACCTCGTCGGCATCATCGGTGCCAGGCTCCGTATCTGCCGCTTGCACCACGCTCCTGACCCGGGGCATTCGCTTCAGATGCTGCATCTCCGAAGCTTTTGGCTGGTACAGAGCAGCTGTCACGAGCTCTGGGTCAGCAGGGTTGAGCTGCCCAGAGGCACTGGCCATGACTTTGGCACATGCAGTCCAGAGAGGACGGAGCAAGACCTTTCCTTCACACTGGAGGATGCATACCTGCAAAAACACAGGCAGGAGGAAGAGAAAAGGGGATAGAGCCAGGGATGAGCTGGGATCATCTATAGCTGTTCCGAGTCACGTGGTTCTGAAGTGCTAGTTCTCAGGTGTTGTGCAGCAGTGTATGTATGTGTGGGGGTGCACATGTATGCAAGCACATGTGTGTGGAGGCTAGAGGTTGATACTGGTTATCTTCTTCTAGCGCTCTCCATTTGATTTTCAATATCATTTTCTTTTATAATAATGATTATTATATAATAATAAATTATTAATTAATAGTAACAGCAACAACAATAATATGATTGTGTGTGAGTGTGGAGGTCAGGGGACACCATGTGGAATCTCCTTCTGCCTTTATGTGACTTCAAGGACTCAAATTCAGGCCACTGACTTGAATAGAAGCATATTTACCCCTGAACCATCTCACTGGCCCCTCGGCTTTATTTTTTTAGCCAGGGCCTGTCATTGACCTGGGTGACCTGAGTCAGCTGATCTATACTGGCTGGTCAGCAGGCCCCAGCAATCCTCCTGTCTCTGCTTCTCTAGTGCTGGGACCACAGGTATGTGCTTCCATGCTTGGCTTTTACATGTGTTCTGGGAATCAAACACAGATCCTCATGCCTGTCTAGCAACCCGATACAGCCTATCCCTTATTGGGATCCTTGTGCTATGTGATTCCAGCTTGACAAAGTTAATTATCACACCAGCTTAGTCTGCCCTTTTGCTTGTCTTCTCTGGCTTTCTCTGGACGTGGTTTGTTATTCCAAAGTCAAATTTTAAAAAAAAATTATTTTGTGTGTGTATGCACATTATGTGTGTGGGTGCCTCTGGAGGCCAGCGGAGGACCCCCTGAAGCTGGAGTCACAGTCATTTATACGCTGCTAGATGTGAGTGCTGGGACCCGAACTCAGTCCTCTGGAAGAGTAGGAAGCGCTCTTAATGAGTGAACCATCTCTCCAGCTCTGAGATTTTAAACTCTGGGTCCATTTTTGCCTCCTTTCTCCCTACTACCCTCCTATCTATGCAGTAGGTGCACCCGCCTCTTTTTCCATTCCTTCTGCCACCGTGTAAGCACTTCTAGAAGACAGAAGCCTCCCACAGATCTCCCCATCTCTCTTTTTGCCACTCAAATCCATGCCAGGGCCCTGGCGGGTCCAGCATTGTTCTAATCACATCATACCCTACCCACAACTGCCTGGTACCTTGTCTTCAAAACATCTCCAGAATCCTGATCAGGGCACAGAAGTGCTTGTACCATGTGGCCCAGCCTACCTGTATGTCGACTTCCAAGTCCTTCTCCTTCACAGTCCCCTGAACACACAGAACTTCTCCCGCACCTCATCCACCTCCCTGCCTTTGTCACCGTGTGCTCTCGGTTGGAATGACACTTTTGCACTGTCCTCATGGACCTGGCCATGTTCTAATTCTATCTCTTTATCTTATTATCTTTTTTGGCTTTTTTGGGGGAAGAATTGCTCTGTCTTGCCTCTGTGTTCCCACCCAACTTTGCGTTCCACCCAGGCGGATGTTTGAATGATAGATAGATATATCGATAATACTTTATGAAGCATAATCTAAAAAGTCAGGGGCACATCTTATTCATATTTGAGTCCTGGGTAAGTATCTTCTCTTTATAGTGACTAGTGGGCAGTCAATTAAATTCTTGTAAGTTCTGGTCACTCTAGTTCATGGACACATTTGGCTGTCATAATGTGTGTCTTTTTTACCGTGTGTGTGTGTGTGTGTGTGTGTGTGGTGTGTGTATGAATGTGTGTGAGAAGGCCAGAGAACAGTCTGGATGTCATCCTCAGGAATGCTGTTCAGTTCCTTCAAGGCAGGGTCTCTCACTGGCTTGGAGCTCACAATTCGGCTAGACTGGATGGTCACTGAATCCCAGGGATTCTCCTGTCTCCACAGTACCAGTGCTGGGAGTACAAGCACATGCTACCATGCCCTGCTTTGTTTTTCTGCCTTCCAAAGTAAATTTAAATACAAAATTGTATTGTAACCATTATATCAAAAGTAGTTATTAATGAACGTTAAACAAAACATTGTACGTTTTCTTTCTGCTAAATAGCTTAGTGTGAAAATAACTTCCATAACATGTATATGTGCATTGTTCCAATACAGATTCTGGAGTGTGAACTCAGGTCCTCATTCTTGCAAGGTGATTCCTTAAGCAACTGAGTCCACATGTGTCTTCTAATGCTATGTAGAAGCTGAAGATGTTAGTAAAATTCATTTGGTACACAGAACAGATGCCAGCAACAAATAGCTGCCCAGCTCCTCATGTCTATGGCGGCAGATTTGCCTAAACAGCATTCTCTACAGGGGTGGTACTAGAAGCAGCTCAACCTTTGGGTGCCCTTGGTTCCTGTACAGAGAAGGACCCCTCAATGCTTGCTGAATCGTCTGCGCCTTTGGTTTGCAGGTAGAAGAGACACACTTAGGGGCCACTGGAACTGAGCACTCCCGGCCTTCTAATTCCAGATGGTAATTGGATTTTTTGTCAGTGAGAGAAAATGAAAATTTGTGATTGAACCAGATGCCACAGTCTTTACCGAGCTTCAGCACACCGCCAGATGAATTAGATACTGACCACATCATCACAACGGTCGCTCTAGAAGGTCTGAGGCCAATCTGGGCTGTCTAAATGTGCAACCGCATTTTTAGTGCCAGATGGGCATAGGAGCCTAATGCTGAAGACTCTGGTCCGGGGTCCTCATCAGCTGCTTCCCAGGGATGGGCTAGTGGCTTATTAAGTGAGCTGGATGCATTTTCTCAGCCGTGATGATGACAGTGCTATATTAAGCCAGAGTTTGCAGGAGCATCTGGAGTCCTAGATTGGTGCCAAATTGATTTGTAAAGCTGGGCTTCTGAAGAGACTGAGCGAAGGGTCATTTGGATGTCTGGATCAAAGGTCAGGGTACAGGCTGAGGGTGTAACCCAGCCACAGAGGTCAGGCCTACATCTTAGCCTCCCACGGCATATCAAACAAGACAGATACACTAGTCCTTTGAGAGGAATGAAGACAGCTACTTCGTGCTTTGGTTTCTTTCAGCCTAAGTCATACTTAGGAGCTGTTTGTTCTAGGAGGTTTTGCCAAAACACTGAGAGGCATGGCTAGGGATGTAACTCAGTCATAACACACCTGCCTGGTCATTCAGAGTCACAGTTAACAATCGTTAACCACTGCAAAATTTAGAAAAATAAATTCAGATGCTGGAAAGATGGTTCAGTGGTTAAGAGCACACACTGCTGTTATAGAGGACCCACCTTGAGATCCTAGCACTTATGGGTGACTCACAGCCACCTGTAACTCCCGCTGCAGGGGATCTGATACCACTCTTGGCTTCTATGGGTAACTGTGTGTATATACCCCCCTCTCTATATATAAAATATTATGTATACGTATATATAATATTGAATATGTGTCTGTGTGTTCAAAGGCAGACACTATCCCGGGCAGCGGATGAACACTATGGGAAAAATCTATTAGAAGAGCCTCTGCTGCAAATCACCCGCAAAGAATTTTCACTAGCTGTAGGCAGAGATGCCAGGAGGCAACTTCTGTTGCAACCGTTGTAGGAATTTTAGATGCATTTCCCTAAAATGTTCTTTGAGAGTGTGTTGTTTTTGTCTTGGACTCTAAAATAACTCCATGAATTGAGTTCCTTCTACTTGAACTGACGGAATAAGCACCACCGACAATTCGTTGAAGAACCAGAGGACACTGCAATGGGGGAGTCATTTGCTGACCAAAATTATAGTCTAACAAAAAGTCAACCATATTTGGGCCACCTACCAGGAGTGGAAATAGAAAAATTTCTGATGGAGCCAAGTGTCCTGAGGATCCTGGGAGCAAGTCAGGATTATGTAATGTGGTAGAGGGACTGGAAGGTGATCCTGGCTGAAATGTATGTCCCTCCATCATTCCCCTCATCAAAGCAGACATGGGCAAGATTTGCAGGCTCAGAAAACGAGACACAGTTGCTTATGCCTTTGGAATTTTGTTCTATTTAAAATGGGTTAAAAGGGAATAGGAACTAGAAAGAGGAAAACAAGCAAGCAGCAGAATCCTTAGGGGGCCAGCAGGCACTGCAAAGCATTTATCTCCAGCTGTGAGGCTTTTACCAATCCATTTTCTTACTTGTTTCTAGGAAGTAAAGTGAGTATTGTCTGGACCCCAAAGACCAGAGATGCTAACAGAGAGAGAGGATAGAAGCACACTTTCAATTCACCACCCGAGAAAGACCCAAATGTGAGACTTTACAGTTGCTGCCGGGATGTGCCCAGCAAGGAGCCTGCTGATCTGGGAATCATACGGTTTCCACAAGGCAGGCTGCCTGGACCCTGTTATGGGCCACACACAGAGCCACATGCTGGGATACCTAGTTAGTTTAGCAAAGGAACTCATACCTTAGCCAAAGAGAGGCGGGGGAAGAAAGGAGGGGGGCATAGCACCAAGAGGCAGAATTAGTTCAACCCATGAGCATCAGCCCCAGGAAGAAGAGTTTTATTTCATTTCCTCGTGGAGTTCAAGGTCAGATTGGTTAAAGAAACTGAAGGTGTGGGAGTAGGTGGTTAAGTGTGCATGTATATTGAAAATAAAGGCCACCGTGGAGAGAACAAATGTGGTGGTTTTAATTTTCATCCTAGGTACAGCGGCCACCCCGATCTGTGTGTGATCTACAGCAATGGCCTGGATATAGGCAGTTTGGGCGTTTGTGGGGCTGCACATGCAATCTACCCTGTAGGGCTCATTCTCGAGCCCAAACCAGACCCCAGAGAGCCAGGAATTCTGCAGCTGCTCTGTTTCTCCAAGCACCACCGTGTTCAGTGGAATCGGCCAAGTTGACCACATCTCTCTATAACTCTTCCTTGACCTCACCTTCCTGAACTTCCTGTCTCCTAGAAGCCTCTCCTTCCTTCTTCCTGTGTGCTGCCTAGTTTTATCCGGATTCTCTTGTGTATTTTCAGACCCAAACTCCACTCGATCCTCACCTTTGCCTTTGTGAGTGAACAGCGTGTTAGTTATGAGGTGAAGCTTGGCTTTGGCCTTGAAGTCTAAGTGAGGTTTAGTGGGTAGGGGAAGGGAGAGGCAAGTGCAAGGTGGCAAGACAGCAAAGAAATTCAGGGTTCCCTGGGAGCTAAAGAGTGCCTTGGATCTGTGCTTGAGCCCGAGAGAGAGAGAGGGTCAGGGGCCCCTTTGACAGTTACCTGCAGCCTGAGAGAGGAAAAACCAGCGTAAGTAGTGACATCTCAGAAGGAGAGGGACAGAGGGGCAAGAAACATGCATCTTGCCATCCCTGTTGAGGGATTCGGCAGAGAAACAGAGGCCAGTATAAAAGGCTGGGAAAGAGTAGGTAGAGGGAAGAGACCCATAGGCTAGGTAAGAGAAGCAAGAGATGTCTCTTGAAGGATGAGATGTTCTCTGAGTAGACAGATGCCTAGAGGAAAATAGGATGGATGAGCATCAGAAACACATCCCTTCCAGGGTTCACCTGGGCTGCCCTTCCTGATTGTTTGACAATGCCTTCCTGCCCAGAAGACAGGTGTGACCAGGCCTGCAAGAGTGTATTGCTTGTCTGTTGGGACTGAGGCCACGTTTCTTCCTGGAGCCAGGAGATAGCAAGGTGTGTTGGGTACCAATGACACTGGATTTCGTGTCTGCCTATTTGCCTTAAGGGACAGCAATTACTTGATTGTTTCGAAAGACTGAGGGGCTTGAAGCACAGCGATTGAAAGCAACTTTATTGACTTCAAGGGGGAAAAGTAATTGAATTATTCTGCACTTCATAGGAGAGAATCTAAGCTGAAATTAAAAGAGTAAGAAAGCAGTTCATTTAATGAATAATAATTTAATGTTTTGTACTTCAAGCTGGAAATTTAAAACACAAGAGAGCATTTTGGATGCTCATTGTAGAATTATTTGCAGTATAAAAAAATGGATGATACTATACATGTTCTGCAGACAGGGAATGGAGAGTAAATTATATATTCATAGAAAGAAATCACTTGAAATAATTGTAATAACATGAGAATATTAACCCTGTGACACTACAGAAAGTAAGAAAAGTAAGATTCTCTCTGGTTTCTGGAGTATAAAATAATATAATATAAATATAATATAATATAATATAATATAACAGCTGATCTCTATTGTCAGCTTGAGGGGTTGAGGATTATATAGGAGATACAATTGGTGAGGGTGTTTAAAGAAAGATTTTACTGAAGATGAGAACTCCACCATGAGTCTGGGTAGCGCCACCCCAAGAGCTGGAGTCCGAGACTGGATAAAGAAGACGTGAGCTGAGTCCCAGCCTTTGTCTCTATGCTCCCCAACTGTTAGCACACTGTGACCAGCTGCCTCAAGTTCCTGCCTCCATGCTGTCTCCTGCATGATGAACTATTCTCTCAAACTGTCAGCCAACATAAACCCTTCCTTAAGTCTCAAAGATTTTTGCCATGGCAAAGAGTAAAGTGATTAACTCATGGGGTGGAAGAAGAGTTTAATTTTCTTTATATACATGTAGTATGCATAACACTGGGACAAGGGCATCATGAACAGATATTTGTTGGAAGGTAAAAATGGAGAACCATGGGAGTCTGGTGGTAGAGAGGGAGGATCACAGGGGTCTGGTGGTAAAAAGGGAAGACCATAGGGATCTGGTGATAGAGGGGGGAATCACAAGAATCTGGTATTAGAGAGGGAGGATCACAGGGCTCTGGTGGTAGGGAGGATCACAGGGATCTGCTGGTAGGGAGAACCACAGGGGCCTGCTAGTAGGGAGGACTACAGGGGCCTGGTAGTAGGGAGGATCACAGGGGCCTGGTAGTAGGGAGGACTACAGGAGCCTGGTGGTAGAGAGGACCACAGGGGCCTGGTGGTAGGGAGGACCACAGGGGCCTGGTGGTAGGGAGGACTACAGGGATCTGATGGTAGAGAGGGAGGACCACAGGGGTCATAGTTGGAAGATCCAGCTCAGCTCCACCTGTTTCCTCTTGGTCACACAACACTGCACAAATCCTGTGACCTCTGGGGGAGACTTGAATGTCTCATTTAGCATTTGCTTTGGAGTCAAAGGGAAGAGGGAGCAAGGAAGAGGGTAATCCCTTAACCTTCTGGACATACCTTCAAGTTGAAGCTGCCAGGGTCTGGGCGGAGCTTCTCCTGGCAGGTGAGACAGTCCCTGGGACAGCTGCTGAACACGCTGGAGAGCAGGCTGAGCAGCAGAACGTCACTAAACAGGATTTTCATGGTGTAGCAGTGGGAAGCAAGAGGCTGAAACACACAGAGGACACATGCCAGTTAGTATAGTCTGGGGAGAGGGTTAGTCCACCCTGGGGACCATGACCCAGGGAGGCAAGTATCATTCCTCAGCGAGGAGATTCCTCAGGCAGGTCTGAGATTCACCTGGCAAGGAATAGTTTGTAGAGAATGCTAGTGGCCTGGTCCTGCCATCCAGGACCGCTTTCATTCGTAGACTGTGTATAGTCTGGATCCCTGGCGAGTACTTGCGATTCCTGTCACTTGACTGGGCTCTGCCATTCCAGGAAGAGTTGTGGGGTAGGAAAAAGCTTTCCTGGAGGCCAGAGGTGTTGCTTCCTAGTTAATTAATGTATGCATTTAAATCAACCTCTTCAAACCTCAGCTTCCATAACCATAAAAGAGAAAGCATGGCCTTACCATAGGCCTGTTAGGAAGATGAGAGATGACCTGTGAGGGCCAAGGTTTTCAAGGAGCAGATGAACAGCCGAGTGTGGGGGCACACATCTCTCACCCCATTTCTTGGGAGGCAGAGGCAGGCAGATGAATGACTAAAATGCCTCCTCCCATTCCCTCTGGCCTGGCCAGAAATGCTGTCCCTCAGTTCTCTTGCAGGGAGCTCTCACATGCTCCCTGTCTGTCACCTGTCAGAGATGAGCTCCTGAGACTGTCTGAGTGTTTGTGTCTTCTCAGAGACCGTATGTTGAAATCTATAATGGCAAATCTTGGCAGACAGCTTGAACAGACTAAAAACAAGGAGAAGGAGGTGGCGGAAATGGTTCAGTGGGTAAAGTGCTTACTATGTTCGGATCCCACTCAGCCAACACTGAGTGGGGTTGGTGGACCACCTGCAACACCAAGGCAGTGGGAGCTGGAGACGGCAGCGAGTCACCAGAACAGGGTGGGCAAATAAATGGTTGAATTTGTGGACTCCAGGTCTAAGCGAGAGAACCTGCTTCTCCATATATAGTCTAGTTAATAATTAAGGACTATATCTGAAGTCAACCTTGGGGCTCCATACACACAATCAGCACCCTTCCACACTGTGCAAACACACCCACACACTAAGCACGCACGCACCACATCACGTAGACTGTTAGTAAATTACTCCTCTGGTTCATGTGGGATGACATCTCTAGAAAGACGTAGATCTTGAGGTGCAGATGTAATGAAAAGGCTAATCCCTTGGTAAATGCATATGATGATGATGTTATCGGGAGCTAGTGAAGGGTAGCAGGTGGGGTCTACTTGGAAGAAGTAGGTCCCATGCCCCCTGGTTTATACTGAAGACCAACTGAGGTAGATATCTAGCTTCATGGGCTGAATTACTGCTAGATTCTTGGACTTTTCTTTGGTAGATAGCCAAAATTAAACTAGTTGGACCACAGCCTGTAAACCACTTTAATAAATTCCATATATATTTACATATATGAATAAATATGTATATATTCGTCCTATCAGTTCTGTTCCTCTAGAAAACGCTTAATACAACACCCTTAGATCAAACCTCTTGAATCAAAAAACTATTTCCTTGGGCTGGAGAGATGGCTCAGCGGTTAAGAGCATTGCCTGTTCTTCAAAGGTTCTGAGTTCAATTCCCAGCAACCACATGGTGGCTCACAACCATCTGTAATGAGGCCTGGTGCCCTCTTCTGGACTGAAGAAAGAATACTGTATACATAATAAGCAAATAAATAAATATTTAAAAAAAAAGAGAAAAAAAAACTATTCCCTTGGACTATGGCATTTTGGGCTGAACCATCTTTACTTGAGATTGAATGGAAAGAGGAACAGGAAACTTGTTTTAACTGTTAACTTGACAGCTCAAGTCACCCCTGAAGAGAGTTCTATTATCAGGATCAGGCTGACCCAGGAGCATGTCTGTGGGATTGCCTTGATTGTTAATTGATGTGGGAAGATTCAGGTCACTGTGGGTGGCACCATTCCCTGGGCAAGCATTCTTGATCAGTATTAAGAGAGGAGAAAGTCAACTGAGAGCGAGCAAGTAAGCAAGGGTGCATCTGTCCCCCTCTGCTCGAGATGACGAGGTGACTGGCTGCTGCAAGCCCCTATCGCTGTGGCTTCTCTGCGGCGAAAGACTGCAACCTGGGGTTGTAAGCTACAGAAGTTGCTTTTAAAATATTTTCTTTTCTTTTATGTGTATGTATGTGTTCCTCTGTGCATGTGCCATACGAATGGTGGTGCCTCCAGAGGCCAGAAGAATGCAATGGAGTTCCTGGAGCTAGAATTACAGGCAGTTGTGAGCTCTCTGACTGGGTGCTGAGGAGCAAAGAGTAAGTAGCAAGTGATCTTAGTCACTGACCTAACTCTCCAGCCCTCGAAATTTTTTTTGTGTCAGGGTATTTTGTCATCGCAACAGAAATGAAGGTTGAATGGAAACTTCTAGAAATATTGACTTTTTTTTTTTAATTTTTCAAGACAGGGTTTCTCTGTAGCTTTGGAACCTGTTCTAAAACTAGCTCTTGTAGACCAGGCTGGCTTTAAACTCACAGAGATCTGCCTGCCTCTGCCTCCCGAGTACTGGGATTAAAGGCATGCGCCACTGCTGCCTGGAAATGTTGACATTCTTTATTGGGGACACAGGTGTGTGTGTGTGTGTGTGTGTGTGTGTGTGTGTAAACACAGAAATGAAGGTTGATTGGAAACTTCCCAGAAATACTGACATTCTTTATTGGTCTCTATGTGTATATATCATATATACATACACACATATAATATATACATATATAAAAATATACATATGTACACATACACATACAGAAAGTTGAATAGAAACTTCCTAGAAATACTGACATTCCAGGATTTCTCTGTGTAGCCCTGACTGTCCTGGAACTCACTTTGTAGACCAGGCTGGCCTCAGACTCACAGAGATCCACCTGCCTCTGCCTCCCAAGTGCTAGGATTAAAGGTGTGCACTATCACTGTCCAGAAAGGGGTATATATATTTTCCAAAATTCATCAAATTCTAGATTTAGGGTCTGTGCATTTTACTATATGTGTCTTTTCTGCATAGAGGATTAAAAACAACTCTTCTCACCGCTTTATCGTCAGATGATTCTGAGAAATCTATGCATTTGCCTTTCTAATGCTCTCTGTTGGGTTCTTCCGAGAAAGAGACAGTCTTGGGCCCTACCCACAACCATCACCTCGGGATCTGTGTTATTAGTAATATTCCTAGGTGACTTGTCCGCATGGCAAAGTTTGAGAGGTGTGGGTGAGAAGGAGCCGGTTCATGGGAGTAAGGAGGGGACATGAAACAGAAGCTCCGGGGGGGCCACATTGGAAGCGCACTGGGCTCTCGCAGATCAAGAAGTGTTTCAGACATAGGGAATGATGGTCAAAGGCCGTTCAATAGATTTTTTTTTTTGGAAAGAGTCTCATGTAGCCCAGGCTATCCCTAGACTCCCTATGTAGCTGTAAATAACTTCCAATCCTTCTATTTCCACTACCCAAGGTCTGGGGCTCCGGTGTACACCACTAAGCCTAGCTTGTACAGTGTTGAGTATCAATCCCAGGGCTTCGTTCATAGGCAAGCGTTCTATCAACCGAGGTATATGCCCGGCCCTTAGCAGATGTCTAAGTGAGTGAGTTTCCATTTGCAGTGTATGTCAAACATGAGTGTTTGGTAACGGCGACCCTAAGAGACCTGGGATCATAGCCTGCGAGTGTGGTGAGCAGGCAGGTAGCCTGGGGAACCTGCCCATATTTTTCAAGGTTATCACCTGCTGTAAGGGGACCAGGTCCAGATGGAGCAAGCCTTGTCCTTTATCTTTAGATGAGGGATGTCTTGGGCTAATAAATAAAGCACCCAGACATCTGTAACCATGAGTGTCTCTCAAATGCAATTTTTCCCTTCTTTATCCCAACAACAAGCGTCTAGTTGAGATTTATTGCCTTATTATTGTAATCGTCTCCTAATTAGTCCACCTAATGATCTGGCCTCCCTCCAAGCCACTGAATGATACCACTTCATTCTTAAAATAATTCTATAATGTCTATGGCTGTCAGATGTTCCAAGGACTTAGCGGGCCACTGACTCTTGCCTTGTCCCTGGTCACTCATCCTGGCTTCAGGTCCAGAGCACAACTCTCATCTATATCAGGTTGCTAATGTTTTTATGCCTCGCCACCGACTGTCTCCTCCATCAGAATACCGTATCCCCATGTCAGGAAGATCCCCCTCCAGAAAGTCATGACTAGACCAGCTCGAGCTGAACCAGTCTTTGCTACTGTTCTGGCATCCCAAGGCAATGCGTTACCATGAGAAACGAGTGGGGTTCAGGGCCCCATCAGTCACATGGGCTAATCAGAACGGCCCTGTAGAGTTGCATAATGTGAGTTTTCTCTTCTGATCATCTTGAGAGAGGAGTTCTGCTTTCAGATCATTGGTTCTGTAACTTGCTGGCTGTATGCAATCTCTGAGTTCCTCATTGTAAAAGCAGGGCCATCATATACCATACTAGCATCAGGGGGTTCATGTCTGTAAACATTTAAAACAGTACCCAACGTATGGCAAACACTTCGTAAAAGAAAACTGGAGCACAGCTCTCGCCCTGTAAGGTCACTGTATCCTTACTACCTCGGCTCTACACTTAGTAATCTATACATTAGAACCTCACACTTCTCTGTTTCTCCCATGGGCCTAGGACTTCCTGGGGAACTGAGATCCTGTCCCATCATTCTCTCTGTCTGTGAGGTACCCAGGCTAGGACACAAACTATAGGATCTGCACAGTGAAAAATCGACAAAAGACAGCGGAAGATCTCTGGGACCACCTTATGCGGGGCCAAGGAATACTCTGGAATCACTGTCTCATCGGGGGTCCAGTGTGCTCATGGCACAGGAACTGCCTCAGGACCAGAATCACCCACAAAGTCTTTACTAGCGAGGAAGAAGAGAGGGCTAGTTTTATGCCATCCTAGTAAGGTGAGAGGTTACCCTAAGCAGACAGTCTGATGCGTGTCTGCTAGATGACCAGCCACATGGGCTGTGTCC